TGGTTTCCCTGGCACCGGTAGCTCTCCAGGGCATGCGCATTCTCTCCTCTGCAGTAGAATGCGGTAGCTATGGGGTCAGCAGGTCTTGAGAGCCTGCACTGACTGAAGGAATTATTCTGAAGACAGAATGTCAGTTTTTCTGTGCTAAACTGCCATCCTTATTGCATAGAGCAGTGCATTAAAAAACGTTCTTGGAAGGCTTTGAGCCATTCTTTTTTTTTTTTTTTCTCTCTCAAATTAACTGCTCTCAATATGTTCACCAGTGACCGCGAAGTCTTCCCAATGTTTGAGACTACTGATGCCCTCAGGGCTGAGAGGGGTTCATAAAAAGTGTGGATAAAGAAAAGACTGCCTGGTTTCAAACCTCCACTATATTACTAGTTGCATGACCATGGGACAATTATTTAATGTCTCTGTGCCTGAATTTCCTCAGGTGTAAATGGGAATAAGGATAGCACCTATAGACTACTGTCTGGTGTGTAGTAACCACTATATAAGTGTTGTCTATTATTATTTGTAGATATTAAGGCAGACTTGCCTGGAAACAGACCTGTGCCTGAAATGTACAAACTTACCTTCTAAGGCCTATGCTGGTCAAATAACACAAACGTACATTTACGCCTAAAGCACTCAGACTTTTCCCACAGCATGCAGACTTGCCTTATGACACAGGGGCACATCAAGGCAAACTAACAAGTACCATGTCAAAGGCTTGCCCCAGAGCCCATGGGCACTTCCTATACCACTTCCCAATGCAGAGACTCACTTACGGGACTATGACCCGACTCATATGACACAGACTTGGTCTACCTTAAAGACTTTACCGATAAAGCACAGAGAATCCTGACATCACAAACTGTAATCACATCTCACAGACTCTTCCCAGGGCACACACAGCTTACAGACTTACCCCATAGAGCATGTTCTCCCAAGAGCACATGTATTCTCAAGGCCAAAAGACCTCCACAGCACACAGATTCTCCTCCCGGCACACAGACTCCCCACGGTACAGATTCTCCTCCCTAGCACACAGATTCACCCTACACAGCATGTACATTTCTTCCCATGCTCCACTGATTTAAACCCGTAGCTGACAGTCTCTCAGGGCACACAGATTTCCCTCACATCATGTTTACCGTAGTGGGAGCACACAGTCTCACCCCACATCACACAAACATACCACAGAACAGACTCTGCTCATAGCACACAGGCTCATCCTAGAGAATGTGGACTCTTTCCACAGAATGCACACTTTCCCCCAGAACACAGATTCATGATGCAGGTTGAAAACCCGTCCCATGACATGAAGACTTTGCCACAACAGACGGACTCACCCCATGGCACACAGACAAGCACCTCAGGACACAGATCATCCCAACAGGATACAGACTCGCTCTACACTGCACAGTAATTTCTCAGATCATGTAGACTGACCCCACAAAACACAGACTGAATTTGTAGGACAGGGACTTACTCCAGAGCACTCAGACAAGCTTGCTGTTCAACACAGAGATGCAACGATACATCTTAGAGCATGTGTCTCATGCCTGGGTGCACAGGATCGTACCACAATACACAAATTAATCCCACAATGCACCGATTCATTTCACATTAAATGCACCACACAAAATAAATACTTGCCCCACATGAAGCTCATTTGCCCTACAACATCTGAACTTCCCCAAACAGAGTTACCATACCACACACCCTGTGGCCCTCTAT